CAGCGGGGGCGCCGCCATTGCCCTCTGTGGGCTGAGCAGGGCGGGAGTAGAAGCCGCTGCGGGAATGGCGGTCCCTGTCCCGGCCCTGGCGTGGGTCCGGGCGGTGACTCCGAGTTTCAATCCCAAGTGTGAGCTGTGAGCACCACTGGAGGCTCCCACCATTGGCTGTGAGGCGAGGAGCACCACTCTCCAGCCTTCTCCACGGTACTGAGCCCATGAACTCCAGACCGCCTGAGAAGAAAACGACTACCGGTCCCGCCCTACAGAAGCTGGCAAACGGAAATGCCTTCTGTGAGCCCCCATTGGCTCAGCTTGGTGCATTCTACGCTTGGCCTTGTGGGTAATGTAGTTTTTCCGCTTCAAGGGCAGGGTGCCATATATCTCAGTTGACTCCAGGACTTGATTTAGGGTCAAAGAACCCAAGAACACACCAACTACACTAGGGATCCTCTAGAGAGCCTTCAGTGGAGGTGATGTCAGGGGCAAGTTTGTTTCTCCACAAATTGCATGGCTGGTTTTGCATATCTTTCTTCAGGACCTGCTCTTTCTGAATGACAGGCATTGTTTTTTATTCAAGACATTTGGCATGTGTCTCCTTCAGGCCATATGTAGCTGAGGGAGGTGGCTCAATTCTCTAACTCGATCTAACCTGCCTCCATTGAATTCATTATACAAAGTTCACGTCACAAAATAGACACTCATACTTAAGAGCATCTGCTTCTGATGCCATCCGAAGTGTCAGCTCTAGCCCTAGCCAGTTTGGCTCAGAATATAGAGTGTCAGCCTGCAGATGGAAGGGTCCCCGGCTGGATTCTTGTCAAGGGCACATGCGTCGGTTGCGAGCTCGATCCCCAGTATGGGGCATGCAGGAGGCAGCCAATCAATGATTCCCTCTCATCATTGATGTTTCTATCTCTCTCTCCCTCTCCATTCCTCTCGGAAATCAATAAAAATATATATATTTTTTAAAAGTGTCAGCTCTGCCTGGGTTGCAGTGTGGATAAGATGGCCAAGAAACCTGTGAAAAAATGCTCAAAGTGACTGATCATCAGAGAGATGCGAATTAAAGCAACAATTAGAGACCACCTCACAATTGTCAGAATGGCTTTTATCAACAAATCAACCAAGGACAAGTGCTGAGGAAGATTGGAAAAAAGGGAACCCTAGTACACCCCTGGTGGGAATGCAAACTGGTACTGCCATTATGGAAATCAGTTTGCAGTTTTTGCAAAAATTTTAATATGGAATTGCCATTTAATTCAGTGATTCTACTCCTGTGGTATTTTGTGGAAGAGCCACACTCAAGGGGCCAAAGAGCCCCATGTGTCTCGCGAGCCACAGTTTACTGACCATTGGTCTACAAAATCAATAAAACTATTTTAAAAATCAATTAAATATATGTATTAATTTAGTGGAATAAATTAAAATATCAGGTACATGCCCTTGACCGAAATCAAACCCGGGACCCTTCAGTCCAAAGGCTGACGCTCTATCCACTGAGCCAAACCGTTTTCGGCAAGATATTATTTTAAGGAAAAAATATTAAAACATATCATTCCAATACAAAAAATGTTTATTTTTTAAATAAAAATGCACAAAATGAGTGAAATGCCAACATCTATCATTGTTGTTCCACAATCCTATTGTTAAAGAAAATTGCCAAAACTCATAGCACATTAGGCAGAACATATGATGTTTTAACAAAGATACAGACTCAACAAACAAACTTCTGAGAAAAGGCTCACCGTAAATTCCTAGAAAAAATATAATCAAATAGTGAAGCAGCACAACAAACGTCTCAAAAAAAAAGTTTAAATAAGTTTTAATTGACCGAACAAATTATTCTCTAGGATGTGGAGAATGTGAATCTCTAACACACTGCTGAAAAATGTAAAAAACTACAATCAGTTAAAGTTTATTTTCTATTTTTAAAGAATCGTTTAGTAATTTTTAGAGAGGGAAGGGAGAGGGAGAGAAACATTGATGGAAGAGTGCCATATTGGCCAGTGACCTCCTGCACACCCACTTCTGTGGATCTAGCCCACAACACAGGCACATATCCCCACTGGCAATCACCTCCATAATCCTGTGCTGCATGAGATGATGGCCAAGCACCGAGCCACACTAGCCCTGGTGGAATATTCTATTTAGATCGCAATTTGCTTATTTCGCTTAGCATAAGGGGTAAGAGCAGAGGGTGGGGGGGAGCTATCTGGGGAAAAAAGGAGAACAATTGTAATAATCTGAACAATAAAGATTTATTTAAAAAAAAAGATACACAGTAAATATAGATCAGAGAAAAGACTCACCATAAATTTCTAGAAAAAATACAACCAAACAGTGAGGTAGCATGACAACCTTACAAAACAAAATGTTTAAATATTCTCTAGGATGTAAAGAATGTGAATCCCTCACACACCACTGGAAAAATACAAAAAAAGTACTCAGTTGAGGTTTATTTTATATATTTTTAAAAAACAATCCTGCCCGGACCGGTTTGGCTCGGTGGCTGGAGCGTCAGCCTGTGGACTGGGGAGTTCAGGTTCGATTCCGGTCAGGGGCATGTGCCTGGTTGCGGGCACATGCCCAGTGGGGAGTGTGCAGGAGGCAGCTGATGGATGTTTCTCTCTCATGGATGTTTCTAGCTCTCTGTCCCTCACCCTTCCTCTCTGTGAAAAATCAATAAATTTTTTTTTAAAACAATCTTTATTACTTATTAGCATACCATAGAGCTTGGCTATTGGGTCACTCCATTCTGAGACATGCTCATAGGCACTGATGTTTTTTGTTTTTAAACCTGTTTCCTTATTGATTTCGGATAGGAAGGGAGAGGGAGAGAGAATCATTGATGGCACCTCCTGCACGCCCACTACTGGCGATTCAGCCCCAAACCCATACATGTGCCCTTGGCCGGAATCGAATCAGGGACCCGTTAGTTCACAGACTGACGCTCAATCCACTGTTCCAAACCGGCTAGGGAAAGGTTTATCTTTTATTTTTAAAGAATAGTTTATTGATTTTTAGAGAGAGAAGGGAGGGAGAGAAACATTGATGGAAGAATGCCATATTGGCCAGTGACCTCCTGCACACCCACTTCTGTGGATCTAGGCCACAACACAGGCACATACCCACACTGGCAATCAAATCCACAACCCTGTGCTGCACGACATGATGGGCAAATACTGACCCACGCCTGCCTTGGTGGTATATCCCATTTAGGTCACAATTTGCTAATCTCGGTAAATTCAAACATTCATCTACTCAAAAACCACAGATTATGCACTGAAATTTTGCCAAAGGTAAATAACACATATACACACAAGGAATTATACAGAAATGTTTGTACCAGCTTTATTAGAAATAAGCAAACATTTATTAAAATGGACAAATTGATGGTGATATATCAATGATAATATCTATCAGAAAAAAAGAGAAGAGTTACTAGAGTAACTTTAATAAATCTCCCAAGTATTCATGAAACATAAACTAAAGCAGAAAAATATTTATAAACATAAAGTTCTCTATGAAAACGGAATGTAAATCCATGGTTACTAGATAAGCTGTGAAGAACAGGGACAGATTAAAAGAGGTCATTATGCAATTAATTACACAGAGACAGATATGGTCAGCAATATGACCATACTGATGGTTTCAGTTTCATGCACATGTCAAGATTTATGAAACACTATATTTAACACATGTAATTTACTCATTATAACTGTTAAAAATGGTTCAATTGTATTCTGGAAGAACAGGTTTGGCAACTCCATAGTCAATCCCCTTGTACTTATGCCCTCTGGGTGAGAGTCTCATCTCAGTGACAGAAAATGTAACAAACAATGAAGAACTTTCACCCAAACCCACAAAAGCCACATTCCTGGACTAAAGACAGCCTTTGACTCCATCTTTCTTTTGATGACAGCACCACAATTGCTCTGATGGAAACTTCTGAGAAACCACAGGAGCCACAAAACATCTTGATTATAATAATGACAATGACGACTCCACAGAAGACACACATCCCTGGAGTCCCTCAGATC